TAGAGTATTTTTTTCCTAGTAGTGTTGCCTCTTCTTGATTAAGTGTCTTGATTTTTCTCCATATCTCAGCAGGCAGGATAATCGGTTGCTCTTGCACCAATAATGACCAAAGGGAATTAGAAAGCAATCCCTGAGTAGTGACAAGCAATGCTGTCTTTTTATACCGTTCAAAAGTATGGATGAGTGGCAATGAGCTTTTGTTTTCAATTAGTTTTATGGACTTTTGGAATTAGCTATTTCCCAGATTCTCACTTGTTCATTTCACTAAAATGCTCTGCTCTCCCATTTCATTTAAAAAAGAACACACCAAAACCAACCTTGTATGGCCTACCTCCTTTTGTATCCCAGTTTTCCTTGGACTTGACAGAGCACCAAGTAGGCCATATAGCAGTTTGTTTATGTTACAGAGGTTTGAGACAAAAGTTACAGACAAAACCTAGTATATTCGCTCACTTTGAACCATACACTGAACTTAATAATACTATATAATGACCAGCAGGGCCACTGAGTTTGGTTTATAAGATAGGCTATTTGACACCTCCAACCTTCACAGGTTACTAACAAGAGTGAAGCCAAGACTCAGACATGATTTGGCCACTTAGCTACCTGGCGCTGGCATGTTATGCACATGCACAAGTCCAGGCCACGCTTGACACATGTCTCGGCCCCAAGTCTTGGTATCCCCCGCACCATCTCAGTCATGGCCTGGCTCCACTTTTACTCTCTTGGTCCATCTCCCTGGTCTTGTCTCGGATCAATTGTTCCACACCATCAAATGCATCCATGGCCTTGGCACATGATTGTGGCTCACTGGCCATGCCAGCACCCTTTGCACATGTGCATCAAGTCATTCTGTCTTTCTTGATTATGCTCTGTTTTGTTTCACCTTTCCAGTTTTCATACATAGTAAATCAAAAACCACACTAGCTGAAACCATCACTTTGCCATGTTATGCTAAATCTAGTAAATGATTTATTAAACTTGGTTGAAGTCACTAGAAAAAGATCCTAACAGTCTCCATGCTCACTATAGTAAATATGCAGCTTACTCCTACTAATTTAGCCTTACTCCTGGTTTTAGGAAGATGCTAGCTACCTATCATGTTTTTTTGTCATGTATTGAATATAGCAGGATAATGGAGATTCATAAATTATTGTGCTTTTGATTTTCTCTGTTTTATGTTTGTTTGGATGTTTATCATTACTGATTCAACCAGTTTGTCATCTTCTTAACCAGGTTTGCTCTTTTTACCTCAACACATTGAACTTAGCATATGATATAGGTGAAATATGAACAGTAGAACTTGATAGAATAGACTTTGTAATGAAGAGAATGAATACATTTGTCCATCTTTTAGACTAACCTAGTACTGAAATAGACACATACAGCCACCCACATGTAAATGCCCAGTACTCATCCTGTGAATTCTTTGTCTATCTGGTTGTCATATCCTAGTTAAAACTAATTGGTGATAAGTAGGTGGACATTAACCATTTAACCACACCCTTCCATGATAAGTCACAACGTCACGTCTCGAATCGAGAGGGGTTGAACTCGGCTAACCCGGCCGACGCTCAACCCTCATACTAACTCATAATAAGGTTTCAACCACCATAAAGTAAAACAAGACTCCACTCTGAACACTTTGCCACAAGATGTATGGAAAATCATATTGGCTGGATGTGGTGGATTTAGTCATCACAACATCCATCTAAAGCACTTAGTTTAATTAATTGTAGATCATTTATGTAATTAGAAGTGTGATTAGACAGGCATAGCATTACTGCACTGTTAATTATACTGTTGTGTTCCCTGCTGATGCAATGTTAGCAATTTGTTTATTAACCAAAGTAGAAAAGGGAGGTAACCAGTTCAAACAACTAAATCATTAAAGATTGCATCATCTCCAGCAAATCATTCCAAACCCTAACCAACCCCATATCCATCATAGCAGACTAGTGCCTCTCAGGGTTGGTGCCCCACCATCAATTTGGGCTACCAAATCAACCATCAACTTAGAATTTTATTTCAGTATGTTTCAACATCACATCACATCACAAAATGCCAAAAAGAGTTTGTAATAAAATAAATAAGTGAATCAGAAAGTCTCTACTTATTTGTTTGAGTAGTAAGTTAAGACATTTTACTGGAATTTGGTTTAGGTTTGGATTTCTATTATTTGATTCTTAATTGTGCAAAATAACTTATAGATGATCGAGAGGAAAGACCTTAGATACCAAAAACACTATAAACGAAATATGTTGATAATTTTGTAGCATAGTGATATGGATTTAAAACATTATATGGAAATTTTTAAATTTAATCTGTATTTTTAAACATTATTGAGGTACAACTTTTCAAATTACTTCTTTTGTAGAACACTTTGTCTTAATACAAGTAGATAACTAATTAGTTTACAAAATATATACAACGACATTTTTCTAAAATAAACTAAAAAATTAGTATCTTCTGTTTTGTGTGATTGACATGCAAAATCTATATAAAACAAAAATATTGCACAAGAAGGCAATTGTTATATTGTGAATCACGGTCCACATTGCAAGATAACTTATAATACATGTTCATTTTTAGTGTATTTTAAATTCATTTTGATCTTAGTACAGTAACAATAAGCGTGTATCAAAATATACTGAACATATTAATATACTAAAAAAGAAGTTATGTTAGTGTCCACCTTGCAAGATGGATCACGACCGAAATTTGGAGTGGATTACAAATGATTTCTAATACATATATACTAGGAATAGCAAGGGGTGTTGTTGTTGAGCATACTGCATATAATATATATAAACATAAATGTGCAATCTAACTATTAGTTTAGCCTTTTAATTGGGATTGAGCACATACTTGAATTTGGTATCAGAGCCATGCTAAAGTGACAATAAACATTGCTTCAATTTGTTCAACCACTTATAAACGACATGTGTGTATAAAATTCATTCCAACGTCAAATTAGGTCTCTATTTGCGCCACAGAGGGCGACTGTACTGCCTGCTGCATAAATATATGTAATTGACTTTATTATCCAAATAAAAGCATGTTACGTTATCTCTAATCAATCTTAATTAATCACCACCAATTCTATACCAACGACATTAACTCAAATTTTATCATGTCCAATTGTCGTCTATGGTATTTCCAGCTCTTGCGTAATTAAACGAATGTATTTTAATTTCAATTAAAAATTTAAATTGATAATGAGAGTGTTTGGTAAATAGTTGTTAATTGAAAGATGTTAGCTGATTGGGTTAGTGAGTTTAACTAGTTGATAGCATAGCTGATTTTAGAAAAGTGTTTGGTAAACATTAAATAAAAAATATTTTCAAAACCAGCTACAATAAATTTCATATTACGATAAGATGTAGAACTTGAAATAGTCCTCTCTTCTTCACGTGTTCTATCAGTGTTCAATGTTTTTAAAGCAAAATTGATAGAATTTATCTATAAGTACTATATAGTGATTGGAGCATCCCTTTCGTTTACCGAACATGATGAAAGGATAATATGTTTGACAAGAAATAGGATGTAATTCAGTCACGTTTAAAAGTACAAATGATTTTTTTTTTTTGGGTTTTAAAATTTTTGAAAGGAGGAGAAGTTATCCTATTTTGATTAATGGTTGTTGTCATTCTTCTAAATTCATGCAATTGTTACGTATTTACATTCATTAATGTCTTTTATCTCATTATCATCATCTACCAATTTAAATTTTAGTAATGTCAAGTTGGATCATTTAAATATAGGGATAATTTCATATTTAGTTATCTATTTTTAATTTCGATACGTTTAATTGTATAAAGTTATGAAGGACATTGTGGTCTAATGGTACCAAGTTGAATTCTCACATGGGAGATTGTAAGTTCTCGCTCAATAGAGGCGCTATTGCATTGTAATAGAATTAATAGTATGTATCCAATGAAAAGATAACACATTAGGGAATGACTACTCCATTATAATAATTTTGAGTACTAAAATAGTAAAAGCTGTACGGAGTAATAAGTTGAAACAACGAAGTGACTCCCCCATTTGAGAGGTCATGTGTTCTATCTCCGTGGGGCGATAAAAAAGAATTAAGTCACATCATGAAAAAAAATATTATGAGAAACTTATAGAAGTGAAAAATAACATTTTTCTTATTGAATTAATTAAATATACAAGACATATCTTGTGGAATTAGGCATTATTTTTAAAATACATTTGATGACTTATTGTGGGGAAATTTTTCAATCTCTGGCTTTCAAGCGTTAGTTGGGTTCGTTATTTGTTTAGTTCCAGTAATAGACTAATAGCTGAGATTTCACCAACCCAATTATGCTTTTAAAAATAATAATAATAATAAGGTTCAATAGGTCATCAAACTGCACACGATAATATAATTAGATCATTGAACTTAAAAAATTAACAATTTAGTTCATAAACTAACTAATTCTTTCAATTTATAGGTTTTCAACAAGGAATTCTTTCAATTTGTAGGTTTTCAACAAGGAATTCTTTCAATTTGTAGGTTTTCAACAAGGCAACGGGTCATCCTCCCAAATAATTATTTTTAAAAAAATAAAATTTTAAAATTAATTATTAATTAAAAAAACAAATTCCTGCCGAAGATGAAGAAACTACAAATAAAATTTTAAAATTAATTATTAATTAAAACAATCTCCGACCGTGGAGACGAAGAAGATTTCTTCATCTCTGGTTGGATTTTAATTTTAATAATTAAATTTTATTTTTAAAAAATAATTAATTTGGGAGAATAACATGTTGCCATGTTGGGAATCTTTAAATTGAAAGAATTGTTTGAAATTGGTTAGTTTAGGTACTCAATTATTGATTTTTTTTTTAATTTAGTAGCCTAATTGTATTATCGTGTGCAGTTTGATGGTCTAACCCTTATTCTATAAAAAAATAAATAAATAAATAAATTAATTTACATATAACCGCATATATGATATATCTATCCATCCCATCTCGTATTCTTCCAATATATAATCAATCTAAATAGTAAATATTACTTTGAAAGCCGGTTTTCTCTCCCTTTTGCAGCCTATCCGCCTCTCTTCTTTCTTTCTTTCTTCCAGGATTAGGATTAGGAATAGGAATAGGAATAAAATCCTCCCCAAGCTAAACATATTCCATTTCCGCCCCTTCTCTGTTTCTCTGTTTTTTGTTGGAAAACAGGGCAGGGGATTTTCTCTCTCATTCTTCTGTAAATCTGTAATGATCTCTGAGACTTCTTTCATGTGTATGTGTATATATACGTGTACGTATAGCTAGACAGGGGAAGAGGAAGCTTTTTCGTTCATAACCATGGATGTCGGTAAGGTTTTCTTTGATTCAACCCTGTTGTATATATATGCGTCCGTGCATGTATGAAATATTTGTTTGTTTTTAATGTGTTGTGAAATGGTGGTAGGAATCCAAGAAGGCGGAGGGAGGGAGGAGAAACAACGGCGAGAGGAAAAGCCGACGAGAGAATCGGAAATTATGGAGGATGATGAGGAGAGGAATCCACGTGGCGGTTCATCGCCGAGGGGAGTTTTGGAGATTCCGACGTCCGGCTCCTCGGATTCCGACAACAACAGCAGCATAACCGGCGAGAGGAGCAGGAGTTTCGGGTCTCCGTCACCGTCGTCGTCGTCACAGGACGAGAAGGCGGCGGCGGCGGAGGAGGAGGGGAAAGCCAACGACGCGGAAGGAGAAGAAGAAGTCACCCGCTGCGGTGGCAGCGGCGGCGGGTTTGACCCCACGGCGGTGCAGTGGAAGAGCATTTTTGATCAGATAAAGAGGAAGTCGGCGAAAAGTTTCCCGATTGTGCCACTCTTCGGACACGATATTATAAGAAAGAGCCGGCGCATGTTTTTCAGCTGGAGCCGGTGCTCCGAGGACAACATTGATTGCGGCGATTTCTCCATTACAAAACCTTCCTGGAGAAATTTTACCTTACAGGAACTCTCCCAGGCCACCGATAATTTCAGTTCCGGTACGGTAACGATTCACATTCTCTAATTTTCTTTCTCATGTTAAATATGCAACCACTAAAATAAGCAGCAAAACATACAGTAAAAATCCCATTAACAATTTTTTTCTTCAAATTAAAAATAAAACAAGTCAAAAGTACAGTGAAACTATAACAATAGTACGAGGACAAAGCCAAATAAACTCTACATAGAATTTTGGTTGGTTTAGGGCAGATTTTTTATTGTTATTATTATTTTTTAAAGATTGTCATTTCTTTATATGTGATAATAGAATGGATGAATCGGGTGGTTGAGAGTTGAGACTTATCTGAGATCTGCGTGCATTTGATATTATACTATGTATGACTTTTGTTTCATTGTAGCACATGAATGGATGTTTATTAATTCCACGTGGGAATTGGTTCCCATCCTACACTACAAAATTCAAGTCCAATCAGAATGTGACTAACCAGCTGCTTCTAATAATTTGCACAATTTTATTCTGGAACCCATTCGGGACAACTCTTTCAAGAGTGTTACTGATATAGGGTTTTATTGGTAGAAAATATGCTTGGGAAAGGAGGACATGCAGAGGTGTATAAGGGGCGTTTGGGTGATGGGCAAGTTATTGCGGTGAAGAGGATAATAAAGGAGGATAAAAAGGACGAGGAGAGAATTGAAGATTTCTTGTCTGAGCTTGGGATTATTGCCCATATCAATCACCCAAATGCCGCTAAACTCATCGGTTTCAGTGCTGATAATGGTTTGCACCTTGTTCTTCAGTATCTCCCTCATGGCAGCCTCGCTTTCCTTTTACACAGTAATGTATCCTTAGCTCCTCATCAATAACATTTTAGTTAGTTAGTTAGTTAATTAGTTAGTTAGTTAAGGTTTCAAGAATATATTATATATATAATGCAGATGCAACAGAAACCTTGGAGTGGAAAATAAGGTTTAAGGTGGCTGTCGGCGTAGCAGAAGGATTGCACTATCTGCACTGCGTTTGCCAGAGGCGAATTATCCACAGGGACATCACTGCCTCCAACATATTGCTCACTGAGGATTATGGAGCTCAGGTTAATTGAATTGAAAATTGAAATTTAATTAATTAATTTCTAACTTTCTTGTATGTTAACTTAATTACATTTTGCAGATATCAGATTTTGGACTGGCGAAATGGCTGCCGGAGAAATGGGGCCACCACGTAGTTTCTCCGATAGAGGGCACTTTCGGGTACATGGCGCCGGAGTATTTTATGCACGGAATCGTCGACGAGAAGACAGACGTCTTCGCCTTCGGCGTTTTGTTGCTGGAGCTTATTACCGGTCGTCAGGCTGTTGATTCATCCCGACAAAGCCTTGTCATGTGGGTACGTACTTGATCGATGTGGGACATATAATATATAAAATATAAATATATGTATAGTTGAGATGAAACACATTATTGTTACACATGTCCAGGCAAAACCACTGTTGGAGCAAAACAACATCAAAGAACTAGCAGACCCGCGGCTAGGAGACGCTTACGATGTGGTGGAAATGGAGCGGTCCATGTTCGTGGCATTGTCGTGCATTCAACACCTACCCAACATGCGTCCCAACATGAAGAAGGTATATCTCAACTGATAACTCGACGGGATCCTAAGATTACTGGTGGGAATTAAATGCTTATCACTATGCCAAAAGGACGATTATAGCTATAGTTAGTAGGAAAAGGATAACTTTATTTACTTTATAAACGGTATCACATTTTTCCCTTCACCAGCTTTCACCTAAGAATCCCTTAATCACCAATTGCTGGATTTGATCGCAGGTTGTTGAGGTTTTGAAAGGGGAGAACGAGCTGAAGGTCGAACTGAGACAGAGCAAGTCAGTTTCATCGGAATCATTACACATAGCAGACTTCACCTCCACATCTTACCGCAAACATCTGGATCGCCATTTGCAGCTTATTATGGAGTGATCGATCATATATATATCCTTAAATTTTTGTGGTTACATTACGTTGTTGCATTATTGATTGATAGACCAGATACATACCGGTGTTTAATTTGGCAATTTGATTGAATCAATGTTGTCTCATCTCATCTCATGTATGTTGTGTTATGTCGGTTTGGCATGCAAATCGATTGAATGTTGTATGTGTATAGAAGCCTAAATGGGAGAGTGCTACTTTAGCAAGAAGTAATTAGCACCCAAAGTTTCGGCTGTACGTACGTGTTTTGTTTACGTCTACGTTGTTGAGTCAGAACTCAGAAGAGTTGCTTTGCAAGTGTGTGTATATATATATATATATATATATATATATATATATATATATATATATAAAATAGAGGAGCATATATAGCAGCATATAATAAAGATTATATATGCAGTCGAATAGGAAAGAATATATGCAGTCGAAAAAACTAAAGTGTTTAATTTGTACTGTGTTTCTATTATATTCTACATAAATATATACATATTCCTATGCAACATATGCACAGATTGGTTCAATATACAATGTAGTAATCACCCAAAATTAGGCCTTCATATTCGGCAGACTGCAGTCCAATTCAACTATAAAGTAAACACTTAAGAAACCCAAGTACGTGACGGGCCTAGCTCATGTAGTCCATTTAATAAATAAGCAAATACCTTCTTTTTTTTTTTTTTTTTTTTTTTTTTTTTGGTTGAAGAGCAAATACCCTTTCCTAATGACCACAATTTAATTTGCAAATTATATGGTGGACTATGGTTTACCTTGTAAGATGGACCCTAGTTTAAAATGACATTATTTTGTTAATTTTTTTTTTTTATTTGTATGTCCAAAAATTCAAATCTTAATATTCAAAAACTCAAAGTTTAATGTTCATAAATTAGACAATATATGTTTATAACAAATCTTAATGTTCATAAATTAGACACTACAACATTCACTCTATTACACGTTCATAAACTAGTATGTCTAGAAACTCATCAAAGTTTAATGTTCAGAAATACTATGTCCAGTGCAGTGAAACGTTGTTATTTTGGACCAAAGTCCACCTTGAAAGGGGGCCACTATATAACTATTGGAATTAATTAGAACATGTACGGTTACACCAGAATTGAAAAGAAAATACTACTTAGAATTTCAAATTTTACTTAAATAAGATATCCAATTGGCGCTAAAGACCTTGTGGTTTAGTGTGTGACTCTCTTAAATGAAAGGTCGTGGGTTTAAGCCCCAGGGGGAGGGGGCCTGTAAGGCAAAAAGTTAATTGTTTTTAGATGTCTCTAGACCATAAAATCCTTGACATAATTAAAGATCATAGTATAATACCTTCAAGAATTTAGGATGTCAATTTGATTTTTTTTTTTCTAAAAAAAAAATATTGAAATAATAATAATATATTATTATAATGTGTATGAGAGAAGCATAAAGCACAATAACAATACTATGTAATATATTTAGTAACTGTAATTGTAAAAGAGAATTTGAGAAAGCAAGAAAAAAGGGGATGAGGTGAGAGAGAAGGGATTAACCGATTAGTCAAAGTAATGGTAAAATTGTACTCCGTAGTTTTCTCTAAAAGCCAGGGACAACAATTTTTAAGAAAAATAAATAAAATTTAATGGTAATAAATTAAGGATTTGTTTGGAAATTTGGAAAATATTTTTTAAAAAATATTTTAGTTGTATGGTGCTTGATTGAATGTCAAAAAATTATCTTTTTATGTTTGGTTGAAAGTTAAGAAATTGCATTATTTCTGTTTGGTTCATTTTCCTGAAAATGAACTTATTATTTGTTATAATAATAATAATAATAATAATAATAATAATAATAATAATAATAATATGTGATAGTGGTGTTGGTGTTGGTGGTGGTGGTGATGTAATGGTGGTGGTGGCGATGGTGGTTGTGTTGATGGCAGTGGTGGTGTTCTGGTGTGACAATGGTGGTGTTGGTGGTGGTGTGGTAGTGATGGGGGTTGTGTTGGTGGCAGTGGTGGTGTTGGTAGTGGTAGTGGTGGTGGTGGTGATGTGGTTGTGGTTGTGTGGTGGTGGTTGTTGTGTTGGTGTCAGGTTGGTGTGGTGGTGGGGAGGCGTGGTAGTGGTAGTTTAGTGGTGGTGTTGGTAGTGGTAGTTTAGTGATGACGATGATGATATATAGAAACTAACTTAAAAATGAAGACAGTGGTAGAAGATGTCTTTCGACTAAAAAACTAAGAAGACATTTTTTGTCAAATTAGACCTTTTTTTCGTTGATCAGAATGAATATTTTTCTTTGGCTTCATTTTCCTTGAGTATCCAAACATTGAAAAATCCGAAAAATGACTTCCGGGAGTCATTTTCAGGGTTTCCAAACGGACCCCAAAACTACAAAATTTGAGATCAATAGTTTGTAAGGAGTGTCATTTTTTAGAGACAAAATTGCAACTTGCAAATATAACTACCAAACTTGAGATCAATAGTTCTGGTTTTTTTTTTTTTTTTTTTTTTAATTTTTAATTTTTAATTAATTTTTTGTTTAAAATTAATTTTTAAAATTCACAACCTCCACGTCAGCAAAGTATTAGGTAAACAGGTCATTTTAAGTCTAATTGTATGAATTTGTGTAATTCAGGGACTCAATTGTACTTTTTTTAGTTCGATGGTCTAATTGTAACTTGGTGTGCAGTTCAGTGGCCTATTTGACGTTTATTCCAATTTTAAAATCTTAAGAAGAAAAATTAGTTTTATTTTATTATTATAAAAAATTAAATTGTCGGAAGGAGTAACATAATTTCTTGGCCGGACTCAGATTGCCTCCCTCCCTTTATAAACATACCTTAAAATCTTGCCAGGTTTCTTGGAACTCCTCCATGACTGTTCTTTCTGGGAACTGTCTAACTTAAATTATTAAAAGAAAAAAACGCATGAACTTTTGCAAGATTCGGAAAAGCTACTGTACTGTACCTTTTGTCTTGCATGGTTTTTAGATCATGGTTCGAGATATGGAGATTCCATTCGAGAATAATAAGGTTTATGTGGCAGTTAGTGAAGATGTTGATGATGGGTTTCTGACGTTAGACTGGGCACTAAGGAAATGGTCCACTCAATCAATCGTAATAGTCATTCTCTATGCTGCCAATAACATATGCAAAGATTACGTATACACCCTACGTAAGTCACAAGAATCGCCTGCTGATTTTCATTCACTTTTGATTTCTGATGTTAACTTGTGTGTATGCTTCTCCCGGTTTAGTTGGAAAATTTCCTGCAAGTTCTGTAAGTGAGGAGAAACTGAAAGATCTTGAGCAGAATGAAGAAGCCAAAACACACAGAATTCTGTCAAAATACATGGCCTTTTGTCACAAGGTTCATTTCTTTTCTTATCTTTTCTTCTGTTAATGTCTGTTCTTGAAGTTTGTTAAGATTTTCTTGTTTTCTTGACAGGTAAAAACTGAAATTCTCAGGATTGAGAAATACAATAATGAGCCTGTTCAAAAGATCATGGTGGATTTAATCTCTGGAATTCGGATAACTAAGCTAGTCATGTCCTTGAAATTCATGAGGCCTGTATGTTGGTATGCATCTTTTTCTTCAAGTCTTTATTGGGTTTAAATCTGCAGCTTTCTTATTCTCCTTGAACTTACTATCATTCTCAACTTTCTTCCCCTTCTGTTGTGTAGGAAATCAAGGGGTGCGATAAGCGGATCATTTTATGTGCACAGGCAGAAACCAGGTTTCTGTGAATTGTTCATAATATGTGGAGGGAAACTGGTTTTCCTCAGAGAAGAGAACAAAGAAGGGCTGATAGAGGATGAAAAGGGAGCAATTCTTGCTAGGAGTAGAGAAAAGAGGCCAACTTTCAGAAGCTATGTGGGGAAAATGTTCAATGAAGCTTCTGCCAAGGGGAAAAAACCATGCGATTTGCCTTCTTCTTCTTCTTCCACATCAGTTCATCAATGGGACAAGTACAAAGAAGAGATTGAACTTTATTTCACTCAGTTATTATCATCAAATGCAGAGGCATCAGATGAACTCTTTCAGAAGCTTGCTAAGAAGCCAGATATGGCTGATAATATGGTAATTCAGATAAATATTTCTTCATATAATAAAAGAGATTTTATACGATTATTTATGTATTTATTTTGTGAAAAAATGTTAGACAAGAGAAGAAAAGAGAGCCAGGATCCAGGAGATCCAAGAAGTGATTCAACAAATCAGAAAAGAAGCTAAAACCAATCCTGCAAGGCTTGCAAGGGCTAAATGGGCTATGAGTTTGTGTAGCAGCCGGGTAAGTTTATATATTTCTGTACAGTCCATTTGTTTCAGAGATTATTCAATTTCTAGACTCTATTTCTGTCCTTAGGCTGTGGAACTTGGAGGCTGCATAAATGAAGAGATAGCTAAAAGGGCTCAGCTTGAGAAAGAGTTTTGCTCGACGAAACAAGAGTTGAATAAACTCCAGACTGAAACTGAGGAGAAAAGGGCTATGCTTAACTCAACTCTCCAACTCCGAGACCAGCTCTCAAGAAAGCTCCATCTGTTGTCTCAGGAAATATCGCAAGCTGGGCTTCAGGTGGAGGAGGAGACGAGAGCACAGGCTGCAATGGCTCAGGAAGCCGAAAAGCTGAGAAGGCAAAGAGATGTCTTTCTGCATAGAATTGAGTTCTCTAAAGGAAACGATACTGCAATGGGGTCGGGGGAGCAAAGATTTCATTACAGACAGTTCACTGCTGCAGAGATCAGAGCTGCCACCGATGACCTCTCAGAACGAATGAGGTTAAAATCGGGCGGGGACTGGACAAATGTATATAAAGGGTGCCTAAATTCAACTCTAGTGGCAGTCAAGATATATAGTAATTCAGGGATTGGAGATTCTGAAGAGGCCTTCCAGGCTAAGGTATTAGTACTTGCAGACAAGTTATTGTCCCTTTTTTTTATGCCTTTTTAACTTTAAAGCTTTGATCTTTGTAATGTAGGTCAACCTCCTTAGCAGCATAAGGCATCCTAATATTCTCAGCATGATGGGATTCTGTTCTGAGCTAAAGTGCATAGTGTTTGAGTACATGCCTAATGGCTGCTTAAGAGACATTCTCTTCTCAACTCACAGAACCTCCAAGAAAAGGAACAGATCGTCTCTGAATTGGCTTACGCGTATACATATTGCAGCCGAGGTTTCAACAGGCCTGTCATTCCTCCATGAGGCTAAACCAAGACCCATGGTTCATGGCAGGCTTAACCCCTCAAGAATATTGCTGGACCGAAACAATGTGGCGAAATTCAGTGGTTTGATGCCCTCTATGTGCTATGATGCCTCGGAGATAAGTTCAGATATGAGGGCATTTGGGAACCTGATATTGCAGCTTCTGAGTGGGAGGAATTGGGGAGGGCTAGTTGAAGAGGCAATAATGATGGATCAGACTGCAGTCATTAATGTGGTAGATGAGAAGGCTGGAGATTGGCCTCTGGAGTTAGCAGTGGAGCTTGGTGGGATTGCAGTAAAATGTTTGAGTAATCATGAGAATGAAGGCCAAGATGTGAGCATGGCAATGGTGGCAAGAGACATGGAGAAGGTGAAGAAGAAAGGTGATGAGCTAGTAAGAAGTGCAGAATTTGCAGTGGCAAATGAAGGTGATTCAGAAGTGGAAGAAGATGCAGAGATTCCCAGTGCTTTTCTATGCCCTATTTTCCAGGTTTTCATCTCAACTCATTATATATAGAGTTAATTCATTTTTTATCTGTCTCTCATCTCACTTTTAGTTCTTTCTTTTCAGAACATCCATGTTGGTCCTGTTATTATTGTGACATAACTATTTTTTGTCATTCGTCAACAAATTTGTTTAAATAATGTTAAACATAAGGCATTTCAATCTATTTATCCTACCATCTTCTAAAAAAAATAATTAAAACTACCTATAAATCTTGGATCAAACTCTTATATTTATATTTCCCTAAACCCTATTCTCCACCCGTCAGGACCATATATTTAAATTTTGTTTGGTGGTGCAGGATATAATGCAGGACCCTCACATTGCTGCTGATGGATTCTCTTATGAGGTAGAAGCTATAGGGGAGTGGTTGAGGAGCGGCCACGACACGTCACCCATGACAAATCTGAAACTCAAACACAGCCTTCTAACACCAAATCATGTCTTGCGTTCTCTAATTTATGACTGGCAAAAGAAAAGATTAGATCTTCCATCAACGACAGTACAGTGAAAATATTTGAAGATAGTAAGTACGGAGTATATTATTGTATTGTAAAGAATCTGGTTAATTGTTTTCATAGTAAATTCTCAAAATGGTCCATCGACTATGCCATAATTCACAAATTAGTCATCGACTATCAATTTTTCAATTGTTACTCGATAATTCACAAATCAATCATTCGTTGGGTATCTTATTGAGTAAGAATTGAATAGTTAATAACCTTATTGAGTAAGAATTGAATAGCTGATGACCTTATTGAGTAAAAGTCGAATAATTGAGAACTTAATTTAGTAAACTTAATAGCCAAAGACTTATTTATAAATTATTTTATAATCGAGAGACCATTTTGGATATTTAGTCTTATTTTCGGTAGTGCATAGAATTGAAGCATGTGCGTGCTCCATCTCAACTAAAAGCCTAAGCTGATGGTTGGATCCCCCTCACGTGTGCGGTGGGTTCCAAGCAACACGTGGACCGGTAAACCGTAATCACTTACGAGTGGCATTGAGATTTGAACCCATGACTTTGGTCTGGCTCTGATACCAAATTGAAGCATGTGCTCCATCTCAACTAAAAGCCTAAGCTGATAGTTGGTTTGCACATTAATGGCTATGTGCATAGAACCCTTAAATAGCTTTGTGCAGTTTACACTTTAAATCCTAGGACTGAAACACCAGGTTTCCAGTTATGTAGCCGAATGCTTAGACGCATATCATCATGAAAATGTTTTTTTATATATATATTATATGAGAATACGTGAGAAACTAAAGATAGTAAGAAGAATTCAATATTGATGATGCTTATTACAAGAAAAGCCGCAGTAAGCTATTTATACATTGAATTTAGAGAAAATAGCGCATGAAAAATGGGAAAATGGGAACATGTCTTGATGTGTAGCAGTTCGCGAATGTTGAAGCGCAATATGGATGGCCATGCGACTCGCGAACGTTGAAGCGCAATATGGATGGCCATGCGACGTAGACGCAGCGAAATTACGGAGACACATTCTTATGAATTTGAGACATAAAATATTATGTATTTACAAGTTCATTTTATCTATATATTCCTAAATCCCAAATGGGCAATTTTGTTTAATTTAATTTCCATAGCCTGCACTCTGCAGTATAGACAGAAGAAGAAAGAAACAAATGGGGAAAATTGTTTATTAAAAAAAATGATTACAAACCTTATAAGACAAGAAGGTCGGAGAAACACGTGTTCAATAGTGATTTTATATAAGATCGAGGTCCCATCTGGTTGTTTGCAAATTAATAATATCATTCCTAATTGTCAATCTTAAATTGTAATATTTTATTTATATTTAAAAAATTATAATATTAAATATAACCACACCGGCCAAGAAGTAAATTAAATATAAATGGCATAATAAATAATGATATCCAAGACATGCAAACAAACCCAAAGATCTTCTTGAATTTGACTAGGATAATATAAGGAAAAATATTACAGTAAAGAAAATCTAACATCACCAATATAAAGTTCCATAACAACAGTACTTGAAAATTAAAGAACACCAACAATAATACAGCAATCACATAAACCAAAAGCAAAAAAAAACACTCGTACAATAGATCAGAATCTCAATTAAGATTAGCAAAGCCCTGCTGGAAATGATGAATTGAAGGTATATATTAGTGGGCATGCATTATGCATATGATGCAGTTGAAAATGAAATCAATTGGATGGAGGTGGTGAGAGAGTTGGAATCCCGGGAATGGTCGGAATTGAAGCGGCGGGCAAGTTCGGCAGAGGAATATTAGCCGGCATGGGAGGAAGAGTGAGCTTTGGCAAGTTGAAGGCCGGCATTGATGGCAAAGGTGGAAGTGTGGCAATGGATGGATGGCATTTGTGGTAGAGAGGGAATTGTCGGAAGCGGGGGCGCGCCGGGAATTTGCAGGAGGCGGCGAGCGGCGGAGCTGGTGTTGAGGCTTGCTAAACACATTAATGTTATCATCATGGAGAAGAGGAAGCAGTTGTTGATGGCACCCATTTTTAATTTGTTCAAGCTAAGTAAATTGCAGATGCTTAATTTGCAGCTAAGTATATATGGAATGGGTTTTCTTGAAGCAATTCAAGCTAAGTATATATGGACTTAATGCTTACTATGAGCATCCAAATGGGAATATAATGTATATATAAGATGAGATTTGAAGAGGGGTCAAGGGGTTGATGAGATTTAGTTGTGCTTTATCTTTTTTTCCAAATTGGGTTGTGTTTGTTAAGCTACAATTTATTATTTAAAGTGTCCGAATTTAGAAGTTGAACATATGCATATTTTTCTCGCTGCTCATATACTTTCTCAATCTACTGAAACACAATGAACCAATAATGCCTCCACTCAGGCTCAAACTCACAACCTTCCTAATGGAAGTCCAACCCGGGTACCATTAAACCACATAGTCTTAATTAATTATGTGATCATAATTTAGTTTAATTGAATTGTCATTAATTTTAATCAGAATTAAATTTTATTCGCAATGGGCAAACCCCAAACAAGAAGCCTGCATTGTTTGGTGGGGTGTATAAAAAATCGCTAGAAGGAGGGCTTGAACCTCCGACCTTGTGGTTAACAGCCACACGCTCTAACCAACTGAGCTATTCCAGCTACTTGTTATTAAAAGTTTTCTGAAAATATTTAACCGTGATCATTTAAGTCTTCATCAACTTCCCCCATTTAAGGCTTATCGATCACTTCAATCAGGCAAAAGTGTGGATCCCTACTATGTTCACTGATTGACTTGAATTGGTTAGCAACCATGCATTGAGTTGCTCTCAAATTCAACCATATAAAAATCCTCTATTCCAACACAATTCAAACGCATATACACATTACACACGGCCCACGCCTTATGGCCATGGCCATCCTAGAAAAAAAATACTCCGTATTATTTATTTTTGAATAAATTCAACTATATATGTTTGAGATAATTATACTCAATTATTTTAAAGTTTGTAATTTAGTATTGATGAATATATTATAAATGGACTCAGAGTAAATCAACCTGGTGGAGCAGACCTGACCAACTTTGGGGCTCCAAAGGTCGAGCCCGATGCTCTGATCCGCGCCTTGGGGTCCAAACTTGGGTCCAAGGCTGAATCCTAAGCTTAATTGGCGCCTTGGAGGTCCCATGATAAGCCCTGAGCTCGGCGCCTTAGGGAGGTCTAAGGCGGAGCTCTTGGACTCTACCTCTGTGGCTTCAATTCATAGATGGTTTAGAGCGGGCGTAGTGGATGCGTTAGACCCGGTCGAGGAGGTCCAAACTAGCTACCTGCTCTTTTCTCGCGGGAGTAGTTGAAGTGCGACTTAATATAAAATCACGTACTCATCTTTGTCTCATTAGGACTACATCATCATTCACTCTCTTGTAATAGTATTACATTCCTTACCAAAAAAAAAAAAAAAATAGCATTACATAAGTCTTAATTAATACAACTTTGTCTCCGTGATCAATATTTGTGCCTTTACGTTCATTACCTTTATCTTTAGACATTATCTTTTAATTATTGAGTTATTTGGATCAGGTTATCCGTGTCAATATATAATCCATCAAGCTAAGTATATATCTAAAATTCAAACATTTGTGCAATTACAATTAATTTTTAAATTTAATTCGACTTGGTTTAACTTATTAAATATATCATACATAATAGAAAATGATTTTTTTCAAGAAAATAATATCTTCAAAATATCATGTGTAAATTGCATTAAAACAAATAAAACAAAAAATTTGCCAAAAAAAAAAAAAAAAACAAAAAAACCCCATAAATGATCAATGCAGGATTTTTTTTTTTTTTTTTTTTGTAAATGCCTTTTGCTCCATCATATTACCTCTACCTTTTATAATTTGTTTACCAATAAACCATTAAAAAAACCTAATTGGATCACTAAAAGGAACCTAAAAATCTAAATTAAAGTAGCAAAAGAACCCTAATTTAGATTTTAAAAACTAATAAAATAGCATTCTGAATATAATTTAAATGAAAATGCATGCTAAAGTACCCTTCATCTAGTCATCTACCACTCACAACAAAGACACTCCATGATATAACAAGTTTTAATAGATTTGTTTGTTTTTTGTTTTTTTTTTTTTTTTTTTTTCAAATGTCAACCAAGAAATTACCATGCACATAATGTTAGATTCGAGTTCTAAATTTTATTTTGAATATTTGAAAATTTAATAACTGAACAAATTAAATGAACTTAATAGATTGAACAAAGAAAACAAATTGAAATTTTCATATATTACAAACAAGTGAACAACCAACACTCAACAATATAATATAATCAAAGATCACTTGAAAAAAAAAAAAAAAAAAAAAAAAAAACAAACAAAACAAAACATTACAGCGCGCAAGTGGTATACATGGATTTTGATGACAAACTAAAGCACTAAAAACGGTAGATCAGACGTATCAAAATATCTGAAGATGCATGCATGCATGCATCTCCGTCCATATGATATGACGAAAAGTGGCCGGGAAACTAAAAAAGTTGATTAAATTAGTTGGATGGAGGTGGTGATGAAAGGGTGGGAATAGCCGGCGGCATGTTGGGGATTGAAGTGGGCAGAGGGATGTTAGGAATTTGCGGTATGGTTGGTTGAGGCAAAAAGGGAATTGTCGGCATGCCGGGAATTTGCAGGAGGCGGCGTGCGGCGGAGCTAGCGTTGACGCCGCCGCAGCTTGCTAAACACAATGTTATCATCAGGGAGAGAAGGAAACAGTTTTTTACTGTAGCCGCCGCCATTGTTGTTTTCTAGCTTGAAGCTAATAAGCAAGTAAACAATTAATGAGAGATATGAACATCCATAATGGAAATGTGTATGTATATATAGGAGGAGATTATAGGTGGGAGTCAAGGGTTTGATGAGAATTAGTTGTGCATGCATGCTTAACCATATTTAATTTGTCCGCATGCGTTACTTTGTGTTTGTTAGGCTACCTAGTACCTACAATTGATTTATTAAAAAAAAAAAAATTATTTTGCTGCCCGAAATGGAGTGATCAAGTGGGTAGAATATCTTCCTCAACCTACTGAAACACAAAGAATCAATAAGGCCTCCACTAAAGCTCGAATTGAACTTACAATCTTCCAAAATAGAAGTCCAACCCGAGTACCATTAGACCACATAGTCTTGGTAGAAACTTATTTTAGTTTACTTTTTCTATGTGATTTGTGGACTATTAGGCAGGACTCAGGAGTGACATTTATTTAGTATACGTACACTTAGTGACTATGAGTTTTTCACGTCACCAAAAAAGAATTAAATACCCTCACATAGTGACTGCAAATTTATCCAATACATAGTACACCAAGTGGCTACGAGCTAAGCTTTCCTCTTACCAAAAAAAAATATCTTCAGATAGGTAGTGACTATAAATTTCTATCGTCACTCAAAAAAAATTGTGTAAAGTTTAAAAGTTTAACAAACAAACCATATTTTCAAACATCTAATTACAATATATAAGTTAGCGTCAAAAAGCAACTTTATTGCACAAAACAAGAGTATTAAGAACTTAATACACTACAAATTTCTCTGATCAGCCAAAAGAATTTGTAAAGTTTAAAATTTTATTCAATATAGTCAATACTATACCCCACCATTAATGGGGTTCGATTATGTGACTTTCTCTTAATGAGGGTCACAAATGTGCCAATTGACCGTATTTTTAAAAGGCTAAATATAGTAGTGGTTTAAATAACATTTACAGATGCAATTATGCAAAGTTTTAAATGTATTTAATTTTTTCAATAACAATTTTACTTGTAAAGCACATTGTAGATCTTGGTTTAAAATAGCATTGTTTAATTAGCAGGATTTTTTTTTTTCTTTTATCAACATTGTTCACTTTTTAATAGTTACATAAACTTAAATCTATAAGTACATAATCTATTAACTAAGTTCATAATAAGTGAATTGTAGGTAAATAAACTTAAAGCTAAAAGTTTAAAAATTGAATGTTGGACATGTAATCATAATTATGGTATAGTTTTAACATATGTTTAATTTAAAATTAGCAAGTTTTTATTATGGACTTAGATATATATTTTATACACCCTGTAATTAACAAATTATGCACATGTACTATCAAGCTTATCATCAATCTCAAGAAATTAAAGTATATTATAACAGATCATAAATTTAGCCAAAGCTCTTAAATTCTTTTTCTATAAGTATCCCTTCTTTGTACTGAAAAATTGCTCACAATTCATCAATCCACCCACAATGCACTCTAACTCTCAATTAAGTCACTCCGAATGATTCGAACACTTCCAAGTTTCAATCTTTAATCCAAATATTATTTATTTTAATTAATTCGGATGAATTTATTGGATGTATTCACTTTTAATTTGTATAGCAATCAAAACAAAAAAATAAAAATAAAAAATGCAAGACTTGAATGACAAAAGGACCAGGACTATGTGGTCCAATGGTACCCGGGTTGGATTTTCATTTGGAAGATTATGAGTTCGAGTGTTTCAGTAGGGGTTGGGAAAGTATATGAACAAGTATATGAACAGATACCACAATGTAATAGAGCCAATAAACTTTCAAAAAAAAAAATGACAAAAGGAGATCGAAAATAAAATATAATTATTTTCTTATATTACAAATAAACAGCCATCCAACAGTACTCAAACAATCAAGAAGCACTTGGAAATAACATTACAGGTACAAATATATATTAAAATATCTCAAAATCAACATAGTGTGATATAAGAAACAATGATGAAAAATGGGCAACTGAGAATTGGTGGCCGGAATCAGTTTGATGGAGGCGGCGAAAGGGTGGGAATAGCCGCCGGAAAGTTGGGGAGGGAGGTGGGCAGAGGAATGTTGGCCGGCATGGGAGGAAGAGTGAGCTTGGGAGCTGAAGAAGGCAAGGTCGGGAGAGGCGTGTTTGGCAAGTTCAAAGATGGCATTGCTGGTAAAGGTGGCAGAGTGGCTGTTGGCATGTTAGGAATGGATGGCATTTGTGGTAAGGTTGGTTGGGGCAAAGAGGGGATTGTCGGCAGCGGTGGAACGCCGGGGATTTGCAGGAGGCGGCGGTGTGCGGCGGAGCTGGTGTTGATGCTTGCTAAACACAAAGTTATCATC